CACACAGAAGCTTTGACACACAGACGCTTTTACGCGCAAACGCTGTTACACACAAAAACTTTTACACACAGACACGTTTACACGCAGACGCTTTTACACACAGAAGCTTTTACACACAGACGCTTTTACACACAGAAGCTTTTACAGGCAGAAGCTTTTACACACAGACCCTTTTACACACATACGCTTTCACACACAGATGTTTTACACACAGACGCTTTTACACACAAACACTTTCACACACAGAGACTTTTACACACAGAAACTTTTACACACAGAAGCTTTTACACACATACGCTTTTACACACAGAAGCTTTTACACGCAGAAGCTTTTACACACAGGCCCTTTTACACACATACGCTTTCACACACAGACGCGTTTACACACAAACACTTTCACACACAGGGATTTTTACACACAGAAGCTTTTACACACAGAAGCTTTTACCAACACAGGCTTCTACACAGAGACGCTTTTACACACAGACGCTTTTACACACAGACCCTTTTCACAAAAAACAATTTCACCCACAAACCGTTTCACCCACAGAGACTTTTACACACAGCAGCTTTTACACACAGGCGCTTTTACACACAGACGCTTTTACACACAGAGACTTTTACACACAGACGCTTTTCACACAGATGCTTTTACACACAAACACTTTTTCACATAGACTAGACACTTTTACACACAGAAGCGTTTACACACAGACGCTTTTACACACAGACGCTTTTACACACAGACGCTTTTACACACAGAAGCTTTTACACACAGACACTTTTACACATAAACGCTTTTACGCACAGACGCTTTTACACACAGACGCTTTTACACACAAACACTTTCACACACAGACGCTTTTACACACAGAGACTTTTACACACAGAAACTTTTACACACAGAAGCTTTTTCAAACAGACGCTTTTACACACAGAAGCTTTTACAGGCAGAAGCTTTTACACACAGACGCTTTTACACACAGAGACTTTTACACACAGAAACTTTTACACACAGAAGCTTTGACACACAGACGCCTTTACGCGCAAACGCTGTTACACACAAAAACTTTTACACACAGACACGTTTACACGCAGACGCTTTTACACACAGACGCTTTTACACACAGAAGCTTTTACACGCAGAAGCTTGTACACACAAACGCTTTTACACACAGACGCTTTTACACACAAACACTTTCACACAAAGACGCTTTTACACACAGAAGCTTTTACACACAAAAGCTTTTACACACAAAAACTTTTACACACAGACGCGTTTACACACAGACGCTTTTACACACAGGCGCTTTTACACACAGACGCTTTTACACACAGACGCTTTTACACACAGGCGCTTTTACACAGACGCTTTTACACACAGACGCTTTTACACACAGAAGCTTTTACACACAGACACTTTTACACACAAATGCTTTTACACACAGAAGCTTGTACACAATTTACCGCAGTTTTTGGCTTTCGAACTTCATTTGGTGCAAAAGGGTTGTCGCCGCACACCCAAACTCGCAATTTTACCACAGTTTTTGGCGATCGAACCTCATTTCGTGCGAAAGGGTTGTCGCGGGCATTTCAAAATCGCAATTTTACCTCATTTTTCGATCGAACCTCATTTCGTGCGAAAAGGTTGCCGCGGCACACTCAAAATCGCAATTTACCTTAGTTTTTGGCGATCGAACCTCATTTCGTGCGAAAGGGTTGCCGCGGAAGTTGTGAAATCGCAATTTTTACCTCAGCTTTTGGCGATCGAATCTCATTTCGTGCAAAAGGGTTTCCGCGGAAGTTGTAAAATCTGAATTTTTTATTTCAGTTTTTGGCGATCGTTGCCGCGGACATTATCTCAATTTTACCGCAGCTTTTGGCGATCGAACCTCATGTCGTGCGAAAGGGTTGTCGCGGACATGTCAAAATCTCAATTTTTTGCTTTTGGCGATCGAACCTCGTTTCGTGCGAAAGGGTTGCGTTTCGTGCCGTCTCGTTGGCACTGCCCCGCGCCTTCAAGAGAGAAATGAAAAGAAGGAAGAGAGCAAGAGGGCAAGAGAGCAAGAGGGCAAGAGAGAAAGTGAAGATGTGAAGATGTGAGGATGAGAAGATGTGAAGATGAGAAGATGTAAAGATGTGAGGGTGAGAAGATGTGAAGATGAGAAGATGTGAAGATGTGAGAATGTGAAGATGAGCAGATGTGAAGATGAGAAGATGTGAAGATGTGAGGATGTGAAGATGTGAGGGTGTGAGGATGTGAAGATGAGAAGATGTGAATATGTGAGGGTGTGAAGATGAGAAGATGTGAAGATGAGCAGATGTGAATATGTGAATATGTGAGGATGTGAAGGTGAGAAGATGTGAAGATGAGCAGATGTGAAGATGGGAAGATGTGAAGATGAGCAGATGTGAAGATGAGAAGATGTGAAGATGTCAGGATGTGAAGATGTGAGGATGTGAGGATGAGAAGATGTGAAGATGTAAACATGTTTGACAGACCCCCTCTATTAGAAGAACCCTTCGCTCAGACGCTCTCGGGAACAACAAAAGCTCGCAAAAGGTACTTCCCAGCACTACTTTGTAATACAAAGCTTGCACAAAGCACGACCCGGTACTACTTTGCACTACAAAGCTTGCACAAAGCACTTCCCAGTACTACTTTGTACTACAAAGCTTGTACAAAGTCCTTCCCAGTACTACTTTGTACTACAATGTTACAAAGCTTGCACAAAGCACTTCCCAGTACTACTTGGTACTACAAAGCTTCCCAGTACTACTTTGTACTACAAAGCTTGCACAAAGCACGTTCCAGTACTACTTTGTACTACAAAGCTTGCACAAAGCACTTCCCAGTACTACTTTGTACTACAAAGCTTGCACAAAGTACTTCCCAGCACTACTTTGTACTACGTAGCCGACCCAGTACTACTTTGTACTACAAAAGCTTGCACAAAGTACGTCCCAGTACTACTTTCTGATACAAAGTTTGCACAAAGAAAGCTTTTACACGCAGCAAGTTCTTTCGCAGAGAAGCTTTTGCACACAGCAAGCTTTTTAAACAGAGAAGCTTTTACACACAGAAGCTTTTACACACGGCAAGCTTTCACGCACAGCAAGCGTTTACACACAGAACACTTACACACAGTGCTTTTACGCATGGCAAGCGTTTACACACACACGGAAACTTTTACACAGGGAAGCGTTTACACACAGAGAAGCTTTTACCACAGCAAGCTTTTACACACAGCAAGCTTTTACAGAAACAAGTTTTTACACAGAGAAGCTTTCTTGTACATAATCTCAACAGTAATTGCAGCTCCAAAGCCGGACGGATCTCGACGCCAACGCGAAAAAAGACGATTTTGAAGCACTTTTTAAAAGGACTTTTAAAAGGAAACTTGCTAGCGCCAAAATTGAGAAAATCTGCTGACAAATCAATATCGCAGCCTTGATGCAGCCACTCCAATACGATTTACGATGTCCAGCTGCAAAAGAGACTAGTATACGCATGCAGCCGCGGTGCCAAGCAACCCTGACGCAGCCATTACAATGCGATCTGCAGAGACTGAGTTGCAAAACACAAAAGAACTACGCGCAACGGCGTCGGAAATTGCAGCTCCAAAACCGGATCCCGACGCCAAAGCGGAAAAAAAAACGATTCCGAAGCACTTTTTAAAAGGATTTTTTAAAGGAAAATTACTAGCGCCAAAATTGAGAAAATTTGCTGACAAATCACTGTCGCAGCCTTGATGCAGCCATTCCAATACTATTTACGAGATCCAGCTGCAAAAGACAACAGTATTACGCATGCAGCCGCAGCACGAAGCAACCTTGACGCAGCCACTACAATGCGATCTGCAGAGACTGAGTTGCAAAACACAAAAGCACTACGCGCAATGGCGTCGCAAATTGCAGCTCCAAAACCGGATGGATCCCGACGCCAACGTGAAAAAAAGACGATTTTGAAGCACTTTTTAAAAGGACTTTAAAAGGAAAATTACTAGCGCCAAAATTGAGAAAATCTGCTGACAAATCAATATCGCAGCCTTGATGCAGCCACTCCAATACGATTTACGATGTCCAGCTGCAAAAGAGAATAGTATTACGCATGCAGCCGCGGTGCCAAGCAACCCTGACGCAGCCATTACAATGCGTTTTGCAGCATCACGTCGCAAACCTGCACGTATCTACGCACGTGGCAACATCAGATGACGACAATCAGCAGCCATTCCAATGCGATCTGCAACCACAGATTCAAGAAACGCATAGAACTACGCACACAGGAACAACCACTCGTTGCAGAACACAGAGGAACCAAAACGACCGCAGCCGCAACCGCCACACACACGAGGTACCTTTCATCGCCGGCTGCAGCCACTTTACACGGAAAAACACAAGGTTTCGTGCTCCGGCTTCCTCCCCAAAACATAGCCCATGCAACATTCATGCAGCCATTCCAATGAGATCTGCAACCACAGATTCAAGAAACGCATAGAACTACGCACACAGGAACAACCACTCGTTGCAGAACACAGAGGAACCAAAACGACCGCAGCCGCAACCGCCGCACACACGAGGTACCTTTCATCGCCGGCTGCAGCCACTTTACACGGAAAAACACAAGGTTTTGTGCTCCGGCTTCCTCCCCAACACAAGCCCCATGCAACATTCATGCAGGTCATTTTTTTTGTGATGTATTGCTGTGTAGTGTAAAGTCAGACACCGCCCTTCATCACGGTCAATTCTTTTGTGATGTATTGTAGTGTAAAGTCTCACACCGCCATTCATCAAGGTCAAGTCTCACAATTCTATTTGTCCGTAACACGGAAGTATTGCTTCCCAACTTCCTTTGATAGCTATATATATATATATACAGACATATATATATATATATGTTACCATCAGTTATATAACTGAGCTATGACATGATCAAGGTTATAATTCACCTACTACCTGGGATGCACTGCGTAGAATTGAATTGACTCCATCCCAGGCACAGCTGACGCCGGCGGAAAGGCGGCGCGGCACAAGGCACCCGAAGAATTGGCCCAGCCGTTCCTGGTCCCATGGGGAGAGAACCATCATGGGGACAGATGAGATAGAGGTATAAATGTGTATGTATATATATATATATATTAATTATATATATATATACTATATTATACATATATATATATTATATAATATATATACACATAATACATCTGTATGAATTGTGGATAGATTTGATTTCATTTAGATTTAGATGTAGGTTTGATTCAATTTGGATTTCATTTGACTAGATCATATCAGATACGATAAGAGAAGATCAAACGAAATGAGATATCTATGCGTTTTACAAAAAGAAACCACAACTACCATATACACACTTTTTGATTCTGATATAAAGCAAAATCCATATGATATTGCATACATGTACATACGTAGATGTACTAGATCCATATTATTTATATCTCTCTCTCTCTCATGTATTTTGTTCATCCGTAGTTGGATCTATGCAACCAACAAAACGGGTACCATGTCCAACATGTCCGGCAACAGCAGCGACCTCTCCCCCCCGCACCCCGGTTCCTGATTCGTCTCAATCCACCACTAATCGGAAAAGTGAGATACCACGACCCAGGAAACTGCTTGTCATTCGTTTTATACCCTGTAAATTTAACATATTTGACAAGCGACCCCAAAACAGAGTGCGCAAGAAGGTTTCCTATTATTGGAATTGTTGGAAATCGCATCAAATTGCCATTTTCAGGTATCATATTGAAATGTGTGGGGTATAAACGTGTACAACCAACTAATTTCTGGTCAGCAAGTCTGAGGCACAACCGGGCTCCGGATCAAGGGAGACTAACCTCGCAGCCAGGCTTCACTGCTCCTCGGTTCAAGCCCTCAGCAGCACCTTAACGTGGGTGCCAGGGATGAAGCGACATGGTGGGGCCACTGGAGTTACTTGAGTAATCTTGAGTAATATAGAATTTCCCATAATGCCACTTTATGATTGTGATCATTCCTTATTGGCTAATATACCCCCTAAAATCAACCGCAGGTTTTGAACACTGCTCGCTTGCTAATCTTCTCCTGGGCAACAAACTGAAGCAAAAAAACAAACACCTCTCTTTCCATCACTTTCCTACGTAAAAAAAATACCCTCTGACTGCCCATCATGGGGGTTGCGCTGCTACCCAAGGCATCCAAGGCACGGTTGATGAAGGCAAAGGCTGTGGGGAACATCATTCCCGTGGAAGCCGTATACATAAACTGCATGCAGCCCAATGGCACGAACCTCCACATGCCTGGAGGCGAAATCACCAAAGATATGGACTGATAGTAAGGGTTAGTAATGGTTAGTATGATTCATACCTGGAAAGTCCATAGTTTGGGGGAAATTGCCCCAAAGGACCCATCTCCTTCTAGCCATTTCATTTGTGTCTGCCAAGGAACCGTACTTGTCCTTATCGTAGAAGAGACCTGGGAAGCAATGCGCTGCGACTACGCCATGTTTTTGTGACGCAACGGTAAGAATTCTGTGCAAAAGAATAGGTCGCCTTGGGCCAAAGGAATCCAAGTTCAATTGACCGGATGCATTCGATTGCTAGGAACAATTCAACCCACAGTTTCAAGCGGACAGGCAATGTACTTGCGGATGGCCCAAGATCTATCCATCTTTGAAACTATATGAACAGTTGTGTTCAGGGGAACTGCGGAAGTGTCTGTGGATCTTGGCCACACAGTCTCTAAGGTGACACAAGCACAGTCGATCACCAGTAGTCCAGGCAAATCATCAGAGTGAAATGAGGGGCATCCAATACACGGTCTAGTTGTTTGTGCTGTGCTCAAACATCTGACCTTGGAGACTTAATGGTTTCAAGTTGACTTCCAATGACACGTCATATTCCTGGATTGCATACTTCCATATGGGTTTGACCGGAAATGATGTATACCACAAATTTGCTATTTAATGAGGAAATTGATGATTGATGATGATCGCCCATGGGTTTTAGGGTACCCTGTTTCCAGAACCCATATCCCTAGATTTTGAATCGCCCATACCCGTCGCCCATACCAGCGGTCGACTGCGGAGTCCGAGGTGCCATAGACGGGAAAGAGTCCATAGGAGAGATGAGCCATGCAAAAACCCAAGAGAAAGACATTCAGAAAACCTCATCTCACGGAGGTTGTGACTCGCAGTCAAAGAGGTCAGCAGGTCAGGTATGAAATGTGTGAAGTGTGACCAATCCAGCGGGTGTGTGTGTGTGTGTGCACTTAGATTCTTAGATATATAACCAACGAGGATCATTCAAGCCATTGGGCTCCTGGGTTTCCAGAAAAAAAAAACGTCTAACGCAGAAAGACAAGAATCTGTACCCACCCCAGCACTACAATGTTGGACCTCTCCTGCCACGGGGCCAAACTTCTTGGTCAGCTTCGGGTACAGGAAAAGCTGCGAACTCAAAAGGCCCACAGCACCTGCAGTCAACATTGGTTTCAAGCGAGGATAAAACCCATGGCCGTGTGTTTGCCAAATCCCCACTGGCAACAACCCCACCTATGTTCTGCAGAAAGCCAATATCACGGGGGCCAAACTCAAAGCCTCCTGCTGATTTTTCATAAGACCTTGGATTGTGCAAATCGCCGGGAGACGGGAGCAGGCAAGGTTAGCAAGAGATCTGGTAGTCTATAAACTCTCCAAATCTACTAGACAGTCAATTTTGCAGCCACAAAAACACATGAAAACATGTATGATAATCATATCATGGAGGCCAAACTCGGCCAAACATTACGAAACCAGCAGTTTGTCCTTTCAGTTGCCCAACTCGGACTTCAGCAACAGCTAGCCACCAGGGATTCACCGAGGTCGCCACACGAGGAGAATCAACAACTGATTCTGCGCAGCCGTTGTCCCTGAAAGCCCGCAGTACGACACGATGGTCCTGGGAGGTGAAAGGATACATATTATGGTCCCACCCACTGGACCTAGAGGGTCAACATTGCGCACCCACATCATCTATGATACGTGCGTGTATATGGTACATGCATATGTATCTGCATCTGTATATGTTATGTGTATACGGATGTGTGTGTGTGTATGTGTATATCGTGTCTGTATATCCGCCGACCCCAGCCCTCAGCAGGGGGGGCGCGTCAGAGGAAAGGCAAACAGTGCGTGGGCCCGCCACGTTGTTCAATGGCTGCCGCAAAACGTCGCCCATGCACTAGCCGTCTCGCATGCCATGGTGTTTTGGTGTGCAGAATCAATTTTCGAAGCAACTTCGGAAAGGATAGAATCAGAAAGTTACTATAGGCACTGGCAGCGGCTGTGGGCTGCAGGCACGATCCGGCCTTCGCTGCCATGGTGTTTTGGTGTGACTTCGGAGGATTTTCTGTAAAGTCAGAAAGTGACATCAGGCGCTGGCAGCTGTGGGCTGCAGGCACGATCCGGCCTTCACTGCCATCGTGTTTTGGTGTGGCGGCGCCTGCGAGTTGGAAGCTTGAGACATCCATTTTCGAAGCGACTTCGGAGAGGATTGTCTGTAGGGTCAGAAAGTGACATTAGGCACTGGCAGCTGTGGGCTGCAGGCACGATTCCGGCCTTTGCTGCCATGGTGTTTTGGTGTGGGAGGGCCTGCGTATGCTGGAGGCTTGGGTACTCCATTTTCAAAGCGATTTCGGAGGATTTTCGGTAGAGTTAGAAAATGACGTTAGGCACTGGCAACTGTCAGCTGCAGGCACGATGACATTAGGCGCTGGCAGCTGTGGGCTGCAGGCACGATCCGGCCTTCTTTGCCATGGTGTTTTGGTGTGGTGGCGCCTGCGTGTTGGAGGCTTGGGAACTCCATTTTGGAAGCGACTTCGGCTAGGATTTTCTGAAATTGACGTTAGGCACTGGCAGCTCTTGGAAGCTCGAGAAATCCATATTGGAAGCGACTTCCGAAAAGATTTTCTGTAGAGTCAGAAAGTGACATTAGGCACTGGCAGCTGTGGGCGTTAGGAACACTGTAGCCTTTGGCATGGAAAAATACTTCTTGCAACATGGTGAAAACTGCATAAATACCACTGCAAAAATACTTCTTCCCAGGCACCGGCCAAAAAGCACCGTAAATGCTGCGATTCTTGCTATCAAAAGACTAAAACATCGTAAATACCCTAGTTTTGGGCTTCCGAGGCGCAAACAACAGACAACAACCACCAAACAACAAACAACAAACAACAACCAACAAACAACAAACAAACAACAAACAACAAACAACAACCAACAAACAACAAACAAACAACAACCAACAATCAACGACCAACAAACAACAACAAACAAACAACAACAAACAAACAAACAAACAAACAAACAAACAAACAAACAAACAAACAAACAAACAACAACAAACAAACAACAACAAACAAACAAACAAACAAACAAACAAACAGCAACAAACAAACAACAACAAACAAACAACAAACAAACAGACAGACCAACCAACCAACCAACCAACAAACAAACAAACAAACAACAACAAACAAACAACAAACAAAAAACAAGCAAAGACAAAAAACAACAAACAACAACAAACAACAACAAACAACAACGAACAACGACAAAAAACAACACCAACAACACCAACAACAAGAACAACAACAACAACAAGAAAAACAACAACAACAACAACACCAACAACCAACAACCAACAACAACAATTAAACAACAATTAAACAACAACAAACAAACATCAACAAACAAACATCAACAAACAAACAGACAAACAAGCAAGCAAACAAACAAGCAAGCAAACAAACAAACAAACAAAAAAAACAAACGTAACCACGACAACAACAACAACAACAGCCAACAGCCAACAGCCAACAGCCAACAGCCAACAACCAACAACCAACAACAACAACCAACAACCAACAAACAACAAACAACAAACAACAAACACCAAACAACAAACAACAAACAACAAACAACAAACAACAAGCAACAACCAACAACCAACAAAGAACAAACAACAAACAACAAACAACAAACAACAACCGACAAACAACAAGCAACAACCAATGAACAAGAATCAACAAACAACAAAGAACAACCAACAAAGAACAACCAACAAACAACAACCAACAAACGACAAACAACAACAATCAACAACAAACAACAACAAACAACAACAAACAACAACAACAAACAACACAAACCATTACAAACAACACAAACCATTACAAACAAGAACAAACAACAGCAAGCAACAACAAACAACAACAAGCAACAACAAGCAACAACAAAAAAACAACAAACAACAAACAACAAACAACAACCAACAACCAACAACCAACAACCAACAACCAACAACAACAACAACACCAACAACAACAACAACAACAACAACAACACCAACAGCAGCAGCAGCAGCAACAACAACAACAACACCAACACCAACACCGACAACAACTACAAAAAAAGAACAGCCAACAACCAACAACACACAACACACAACACACAACAAGACACAACACACAACAACACACAACACACAACAACACACAACACACAACACACAACAGCACACAGCATACAGCACACAACAGCAACAACAACAACAACAACAACCAACAACAACAACAACAACAGCAACAACAACAACAACAGCAACAACAACAACAACCACAACAACCACAACAACCACAACCATCACCACAACCATCACCACAACCATCACCACAACCACAACCAACAACCACAACCAACAACCAACAACAAACAACAAACAACCAACAAACAACAACCTACAACCAACAACCAACAACAGACACACAACAACCAACAACCAACAACCAACAAACACCAACCAACAAACAACAAACAACAACCAACAACCAACAACCAACAAACAACAAACAACAAACAACAAACAAGAAACAACAACCAACAAACAACAAACAACAAACAAACAACAACCAACAACCACCAAAAAACAAACAACAACCAACAAACAACAACCAACAAACAACAAACAACAAGCAACAAACAACAGCAAACAAACAACAGCAAACAAACAAGGCAAACAACAACAAACAAACAACAGACAACAAACAACAAACAACAAGCAACAAACAACAACAACAGCAACAAGAACAAGAACAAGAACAAGAACAAGAACAAGAACAACAACAGCAACAGCAACAGCAACAGCAACAGCAACAGCAACAACAACAACAACAACCACCACCACAACCACAACACAGCCACAGCCACGACGATGACGATGAAGAAGACGACGACACCAAGAACAAGAACAAGGACAAAAATGCGCGAAAAAATGCGTGGTAAGATGGTTACAAGCTGCGGTATTAAAAGAACATCACACTGTGCTCTGCACCTGCGCGCACGCGCCGAGCACGTGAAACTACACCAACGCTCACACTACTATACATAACCCTTATGTCATCGCCGGTGCGCGAAGCTCTGTGATAAGTATATGTATAATTATGTATATCCATATAGATATAGATATAGATATAGATACAGATATAGATATAGATACAGACATATATATATAGATATAGATATAGATATAGACATAGACATAGATATAGATAGATAGATAGATAGATATAATGCTAGATAGATATGATATAATGCATAGTATATTGATGTTATATGTATCTGTATGCGTTATCATGTTTTCGGTGTGGTGAAACATGCCATGACGGTGGTTCAGCCATGGCTCTGGATCAGTTCCATGGGGTAGCGCTTTCCTTTGGGCGCAGTGACTGAAGATTCCCCTTCGTCCGGCACGAAGCGTGTAGGAGCACCTGAGCTGCCGAGGTTAGAAAACGTTGCTACATTGGTTACATTGGTTACATAGCATGTTATAGCCACTATTTCACCAGTGATGGTAGCCCTGGAAAGTGGGGAAAATAAGGACTGACCTGTCGCAGCGCTTGAAGAAACGACATCCACGACTGATGGAAAGAATGGTTTCCTTCAACCTCTCCAGGCTCCGGTTTCCATCAAACACCACTTTTGTGAGTTGAGAACGGGTCTGGGGATACTCATGATGCTCCGCCTACAACTGTCAAAGCTCTTTTCCCTCTCGTCCATCCTGGGCATTGCCACAGATACTGCGCCCATGACCAGAAAAGCACATCCAAAGGAATGCACTTGTGCGTTCGTGTGCAAATGCACAAGAGTCGTCCAGAATTCGATCTAGGGGAATAGGTTTGACTCTATTAAGGAATCCAGTCTCACCCCGGAATCAAGAGCGAATTCATCGATGTGAAACCATCCAATCTGTCTTGACCGTGGATGTCAACATGGGTAAACAACTGGACAAACGGTAAACAAACAAAAACGATCTATCTTCGAAATGCAAACCCAGAGCGGCTGAATCAGCTCCATCTCTTCCAATGGTCATCCCAATCACGGCCCAAAATACTCCCTTGATTACTTCCCAACATCTTCGTTTTTATTTTTTTCTTCATATTTCTCATCTTCTTCAAAGTTTTAATTTCTTCGTCTTCTGCATTTTCTTCATATTTTCTCTTCTGCATCATCAAATCATCACCATCACCATCCCAATTTTTACCTTTTCATTTCCATGTCCATTGAAATCATTGGTATGCCATTGTAGAGAGGCCTATCATCCCCTTCCCCGAACACCCAAAAACAACTCCGAACTCCTTGTTCGGAGTTTTCTCAAAATATAGGATACGTCAACATGGCCAATTTTTCTTGGCATCATGATTTTCAATTATGATATGTGTATGTATACAGAACTAGTTTTGTATGTATACATATAGTATGTGTCAATTAATGTCAAGTGAGGATTAACAATGCCCCCCGATTAATCAACAGCAACTGCCCAAAAAAAAAAATTGTAATGGAAAAACAGGTGGTCCCCCCAGATTAATAATTTTTTTGGCCTACCCCCGATTAATCAACAACCACTTCGGAAATCCATTTTTTTATCCAACATTTTTTATTTCCAATTCTATTTATTTCCAATTGTTTTTTACCTTTTTTTTAATCATCATTGTTATACTTCAGGTTTAAGTTGATCATTGAAAATTTCAAAAAACAACTATTCCCCAAATGATCGATTTCTAATTAAAATATTTATAAAAAACATCAGTTTGGATAGCTCCCAAAGGGTACCCCCCATGAGCCCATGTCCCCCAGTAATAATAACCATGGTTTGCCCCTGATTAATCAACCACCTTTCTGATCCATGAAATTTTAACAAATCCAATGGAATTCTATTAAGATCTAATTGACGTAAGCCATATCCAAAGTTTTATGCTTCAGAGTTGCTTATTATTAAGGGGCGATCAAGAAAACCAGTCAGAAGGTACCTCCCTACCTTCTGGGGGGGGGGGGTTATTAATCCGGTGTTGGCATTATATAAATCCCTCCTGGGATTTTCAAAAGTTCCAACGTATCAGCTTCCCAACCCCCACACAGCGCCTGAGGGATCGGTGCCACTGGTGCTGCGCACCAAACCCACCGCCGGCGGCAGCTCCACCGTTTCGGCCGACGGTGCCCGGCGCCGCAAACAGCTGCAGCGCTGGCTGGCGGGAAGCGTCTCCTGGCGGCCGAGGTCCTGTGGATCATTTTGGTCTATAAAATGTATATAGGAAGCCCAAAAATATATGAAATATATATGAAATATGATTAGAAAAGGAAAATCCCACTGATATGGTGATAAATGATCGTGGTTCTTTCTATTTAGGGGTCTACTATGCAAATAATATATATATATATGTGCGTGTGACATGATAGTATGTGTTATTTATAATATATATATATATGTGCTATATAGTGATTTACAATTTTATACAATGTTATAGTGCCGTAGATGTTACATATGCTATACGTTGTATTGTTTGTGTGTCTATATATCTAGACATATCTATGCTTCAAAATCGATGTCCATCCGCAACTAACGGATCATCAGTTACCAAACCGGCCCCATGTTTAGATGTTGTTTCTTCCAAGTGCTTTATGGGTTTTATAAGATTTTACTGCCAAAAGTCTTGGTACCCATCACTATCGAGCGCTCAGCTTCTCATGGTTTCAAATCCAAATGCGGCAGCCTGGTGAACATGAAAATACTTGTGATCCACCCGGTCAGCCTCATACGGGAAAATCATCATTTTTCAAAGCAGGTTCCAGAGGGGTGTGTGGGTGTGTGTAAACCACTAGCTTTCATGCGGTTAAGAATCAAAATCATGAATTCAGTCAACATTTGTGCCGGGCGGCTGGTTGTTTACGCAAGTACCAGCCCAACGAAGAGGCTTGCATGTGGCAGTGATATCACTGGAGACGTCCAGTGACGTACTTGCTTCGAATATGTTTCAAACTCTAGAATACGTTGTGACTTCAGGCTGTTGCAGGTGCACGTCTACCTCTCCACATTATTTTCCTGTCAGATTGCTGCGCCAGGATGGTTTCTTAGGAAACATTAAGGCGACGACTATTTCAACTTTCTAAAGTTCCAATACAGAGTAAGTCACTTACTCATTCAGCAGTGTGTGCGCAGTTGAAACCACTGATGTTTTCGCGGCATGACCCATCATGTCTCTCAACCATTGGTTATTGTCATGTGAACATTATCCAGTGGAAAGAAAAGCACCTCCTGGTAACTACTATTGTGCTAAGACGAAACTTGCAAAAACATGGAAACCATCTCTGGTCAGGGACCATCCTCTTGTGGTCTGCCCCAGCATACAACTAGGATCAGAATCACGGATGTAAAATCCCAACTGCAACTGCCACTTGTTTGTTTTTTGATTTTCACTTGAAAGTGATAAATTCATGACAGGGACCTGTCTTTTTTCCCATCAGTGGTTAGAAACCGGGAGCAGCGACAGCAGGCCTCCAAAAAGATGCAGCCAATGACCCACGCGATGGCCGCGAAAATGGCCTTTGCAAATGGGTGCAACAAGAAATTGGTCGTTTTCAGGATGCACTTACTCACTTTCCCAGACTTTGTATCTTGGTTTTGAAGGAAACATTAATTCTTCACTATCCCAGACTTGGTTTTTGAAATTGGGAACTCACTTTCGGGCTTGAGCCACGCAAGCTGCAAGCTCCAAGAGTCAAACTATATCGCTACACAAAGCTAGAAACTGAGAGCTTCAGCCATCGGGGAAAAAGATGATGGTGGCCTCACTTCGACGTGTAGAAACGAGGCTATCGCTGATATACTCACCTGTCATCCCCCTTTTACTGCTTGATCAATCATGATTCATTTAGCGCGGTATAGTAATGAAAAATAGTAATGGAAAAAGACCTAACGCCGGGCTTGATAGTCCACACCAGGTCACCAGGGGTCAACTGACCATGTTGAGATGTATCCGAATCTTCTCCGGGGCACATAAGTCAGGTTGGGCAACAGGAAGGGATACGTCTCGAAGATTGTCCCACCAAAAATGTGCGGGGCACGCTCTGCTGGGAACACCAGCCTTGGTTGCATCAATCCAGAGGAGAGGGCCGAAAGCCACTGCATAGTTTCAGTCGAAGCCCCACAGATCCAACTCCCACAGGTGGGCAACGGGTTCAGTTTGAAACCATCGGCGACTACAGGAGTTTGCCATGTTGCTGACCGACAATCACAGAACATCACAGAACCAACCTTTCTTCTCCGAAGCAGCTGGTGATGTATTGAGCCCCCATCGCAAGCGATCCCTTGACCGGATTAAACCCTCCCTGCCACACAGCTCCACTTTTCAACCTTCAAAATCCAATCAACCAAAAAAAAATATCCCATCCCCAAGGCGCCCAAGGTGCCCAATTGGCCGCGCCAAGCAACTCACCTCCCAGGATGGGCCCCACAAAAAGCCCCACCGAGAAGCACAGTGCCAAGAAGCTGAAACCCTTCGCCTGCGACGAAAAAAAAAAGCCGGAGGGGTCAGCGGAGTCCGACACCTTAAAGGAGGAAAATCCAAGACTTCGGATGTCACCTTACCCATGTCAATGCGAGCCTGGTATAACAATTGATAAGCGTGAAATGTATTGAGCAAAGAGTTTGATGAATGAGTACTCGTTAGCACCATGAGGACTCATGAAGGTTTCCCAACCCATTGACCAGCTGGTGGGCTCCCAACGACTCAACGGAGCACCTCATTGCTCTCGTCAACGATCTCACCAAGGTAGGTTCGAGTGACCTTGGCTTCCAAGCCTACGCCGAGTTGCTACCTTTTTGGGGTTCATAAATCATAAACCTCTTGGTGTCTGATGGTCCAAACAATGTCCAGAGACATTCATTACATCTGACATCTTCCTTTACTATCATTATTACTATAACATTATGATGTCATTGGGCTTTCCATATTATATTATATCATATTATATTATATTATATTATATTATAGTTATATTTATATTTATATTTATATTTATATTTATATTATATTATATTATAATATATTATATTATATTATAATAGATTATATTATATTATATTATAATATATTATATTATATTATATTACATTATATTATATTATATTATAATATATTGTATTATATTATATTATATTATAATATATTATAATATATATATGTATCATATTATATTATAATATATATATATCATATTATATAATATAATATATATATATCATATTATATTTTATATATATCATATCAATTTCTTCCTGGAGCTATCCCCCCATTTCATCCTGTTCGCATCCCCTTTTTTGTGTTTCATTTTGTTCGCCCCCAGTCGGGAATCTCCATCTCCGGCCCAGTGGCTCCCATGTTTCCACAGAAGAAGCCATCCAACGCCCTGGCTGCAAAGATGGTTGGCAGTGAAGTCCCCAAACCTGGCCACGAAGATGGCACCCCCAAGGGACTGGACAGAGTGGTGACCGTTTATTGAAAAAATGGTGGTGCCCCCCACCCCTCCCGGAAAAAAAGAAGAAGAACAACAACAAGTGCTTAATAAGTAAACACATGGATCAGACAAATGGAGAAGTGTCGCCAACTTTCACCCAGAAAACCCCAGGGTTTGGACCTCCCCAAGCGCGCCAGGTGCACCAAACATCACTGGGGCAATGCAGGATCCACCGAGGCCAATCAACAATGCCGGCCTCGTTATATGTCTAAATGATTCTAAATGGAAGAGATGAACCGCAACACTCCATGGAATTCAGCAACAAACATCAGGAATCAACAGGAACCACCAAGGAACCACCAAGGAACTGCGATGTACCAAACACGAGGGAACGAAAACGATTGAACATGGGGCAAACTATGTAAAAATTAGGCATTCAACCAACAACGACAGCAGCAGCAACAACGACAACAACAACAACAGGGATGTTCCAGACCACCGAGATCGGGGTGGTGAGGATGATTTTGCGCTCCTACGTTATTTGGTGCGGACTCCTGCAATTTCGGAACATCCAACTATAGTATCTGCTGCTAAGAACCAACACCTCCCAACCCCTTCAGCATTTTCTGAGCCACCCCACTTGCGGCCGACCTTATCTGCAAAGGTGCCCCACAATGGGGAGAAGATGACCTCGCAGAGGGAGTAGAGCCCAATAAGCATCCCAACCTCAGAATCCCGAGAGTTTGGGCCTTCATCGTTTACTCGACTGTCATTGTGGGATGCGTCACGTCATGCCAGCGATTTGGGATCATCGAATGCATCCGTTGAGGGTGAGATGAACGTCCATGAAAACGAGCTATGTTGGTGTGATAAGAAGATGCCTGAATCCTGCTTAAACTCAGCTGGCCCACAGCATGGTAGGGGCCTCATGGCTACCCTTGGAAATTCCTCAGCAAGTTCTTTCTGAAAGAGGGATATTATATAGTCATATATATATACATATATATATATATATAGTCCTCCATTTCAAGCTGAGAACCTTCCAAACCAATTCCTTTTAATCCAGACCTCCCATGTCCAAAATCCATCCCGCCATACCTCATCCGTCACAGTCAAGGAGCAGTATGTGCCACTGCTGGGCTCTGGGGACTCTGGTTCAGATAAGTCGAAACCATCTTGTCCTCAGTTGACAATGTCAATCCAGTGGCATCCAGACGTTAGCTCTTGCTGTTTACAATATGCATGTATGTATATGTGTGTATATATATATAACATGTGGTAACCCCTAGAAAGATAGAAGAGTATTTCCAGGAATTTAAAAATGATGATTTCCATCATTTCCAGGTGTTCAACTTTTCGGATCTTTTTTGGGGGATGCCACTCCTGGGTCAGCGACCACATATGGCGTCAAAAGGTTCACGTTGATGCAATCCTTGGAGGCTTGGGGAGATCCTCTGGACCATTCATGCAACAACTGCAACAACGAGACAACCAACTCACATAAGAGAATATCATCTGGATAAGTGAATTTGAATCCGAAATAACCTCCTGTAAATAACCCTAAGTTCGAAGAAAAACGATTGAGTAATTAGCAACTTGGGCATTTGCACTGCTTGGCTCGGCAAGTTGAGATGAACTCACTCCTGGTTTAAAATCAGCCATCAAAACAGCCAAAAGTTCCTAAAATATGGACACCTTTGTCCTAAAGAAAACCATTGCTTTTCCATCAGAAGCCGTGAAATCCCCGGTTCGGCGTACCATCAGCCAAGGCAGCCAAGGCACAATCAAATTCATGGCGCCTAGCACGAACAAGGTCTTACGATTCAGACGAGGTTTTCGGTGCTGAGCATCCTGTCGCCGGGAAGAAAAACAGGTGGGGTAGTCCCTGTCAGTGTTGATCCGAGTCCATTGGGATTCTATGCGATTCTATAGCTATGGTAGCTATGGTAGCTATGGTAGCTATGGCATGTGTGAATATGATCCATTTTATAGGCAGTTGATTTGACTTAAGATTGCGTGGCCCAATTCTAAGTGGTAGAAAACGTGTTGCCCCCATGTCAATCCCAGGGTGACAGGATGCGGCAGGATGTGACAGGACTGACGCCGTCCTCACAACTTGCCATCTCGGCAGCAGCCATGATGAGAACCGATTCGATTCAGAGGCTCTCTGCCAAAGAGTTGTTTACAGAGAGACGCATATCACACGGAAACCCTCTCTAGGAAGGTTTGTCACAGTCTGAGGAAGGATTTGTCTCAGTTTCAGGAAAACAACAATAATATGACTGCAGCACCAGGAACATATTTCCATGTTTCCCAAAAAGAGACAGGGTAAAAGGAAAGACCATTTTTTCAGACAGAAATGGCATGACTTTGCTAGTTGCAGCACGAACTGCTCGTGTCTGCTTTGAGCCAGATTGTTTGAGCGGCAAGTTCATGGTCATTCTGCAATGGGAACCCCAATTGGAAACAATAGACAGACATCTTCAAAGATGCTATAGATTATTCTAACCGACCCTCTGGTAATTTAAGGGTTTGCTATGGAAAATCACCATTTGAATAGGGAAATCATCAAACGAAATGGCTTGTGGTTTCCATAGCTATGTTAAAATACCGAAGGTATTGAGTTGCCAAGGCTCAAAGATTGTGCTGTTCCAGGAGATGTTAACACCGTAGGGGGATATAGGTCCCTTGAAACGCACGGTGCTTCACACCGCAGCTGCTTGCACCTTCTTGCTCACAGCGCCAGGTGTGAAATAAGGCAAATCAATGCATGATTGCAGTCAAACCCAGGGGCCAAATGTCACATCCAGATGTGTTCATGACACTGACATGCTATCATAATTTGTCCCCTGACTTTGGA